ATCTGGATGGGTTGCTGATGGCATGTTGTTGTATCAATTAGATATTTTACCTTTTCACGCCAAGCTGCTGGAATTGCAAGTCAGTCATCGGAAAGTCATATGAACACTTTTCCAATGCCCTGCAGTAAACTACGAACACGTCTGTCCTAAAATGAATCGTTACTTGTCTAGACAGCAGCAGTTTAGTCTCACAGAGTATGGTAACATTGTTACCCACTGTAGACGAGAAATTTAGCCTGTGTCTTGTGGATGGTTGTCATCTTCGTGACCAAGAAAAACAATAAAAATATAATTGCCCTACATTCAACACAAGTGTGTTTAATGTAAAGGTTATTATAGCAATTAAATAGATTGTCGTTTCAAAAGTGACAGTAATTCATTGAAATTAAAGAGTAGTGTGAGCTGGATTTTTGAAATGTGCCTGTGATGCAGAGCAAATACGCACTGTTGGCTTATCACCATCAAGCATAAACGACAAGCGGAGGCAGAGTAGATGTGTGAAGGAAAAGCGAGCATATGTACTAAAGAAAGAACTGCTACGTAACGTGAAGAATGTCAGCAACTATCTTGCCATTGTGGTACGAGCTCAGTGGCTATGCACATGCTTATAGCAGCCTGTGAATGTAGGATGCTCCCCTTATGTGGCAAAGCCAGGGGGGGGGGGGGGGGGGGGGGGCTTTATAGGGCTTCGCTCTTTCCCGCCCCAAATCCGGCGGGCCCTAGAGTGTACACACAAATTCCGACACCATCCCCCCCGCACCCCAAGTCATGAACATCCCAGCCACCTCAACCCCCCTCCATCCTCACCCCCTTAGAAGTTCCTGGCTACGCCACTACTATCAACAGCACTCAATAGATAGTCAACATTATCAAGATAAACGAAATTTCTTTTATTTTATGCACCATATAGGCATTGTTTTTGTCTTTATATGCATGCAGCCAAAGCACACACTGTAGAAAAAACTTGTGTGAAGCCTGCGTTCACATGCGGTCTCCGTCAAACTTTCAAGGCGTTAACGAATTCCACAAATTAAATTTTCAACGAAACGAATTCGTTTTGCAAAACGCTGGCAAACTTACGTTGCGTTTTACATCATTCACCTTTGTCGTCCGATGAATCAGTAGTCAGCACTACACAAACCTCAATGAGCTTGTCGTTTGTTTTCTTGCCGTTAGGGCGATCGCTGGCGGTCGTGGCGGCGGCACAATTCTTTCTCAGACCGTTGGCTGCTGCCTCCGTGCTCGCGGAAACGTGGTTCCCTTTGTGTCAAGGTGAGGTTTTGAATCTTAATGCACGGCAACGGTGAATAAAGGTCTATTACCGTCTTCATAATCTCAGCAAGGCTACCGTACGAGCCACAACAACACCACCACTTTCAAGCTTCATAACACCTGCACATATAGAAGCCAAGTCTTGCATCTCGCCAAGCGTTACATCGGAGACGTTAAACGCCAGCTCACTGTGCTCTTCGACCCGGTCCTGCCGCCGAATGGGCTCATCCAACAGCACGAAAGTATTCGTGTGCGCGTTGATCAAGTGACCGATCGCATGTCAAACCCCAGCCGCGGTCGATCCGACGAGCATCGCGGCCATGTTCTTTCGAGTTTAACTCGCCAAGGGTACGGTTGTCGAGTTAAAACAATGCAAATAGTCCCGTGCATTTTTGTTCTTACGTCATTTTGTCGTCACAACCCGAACTCAAAAAATGACTGTTATACTCCGTTTCAGCTTCGGTCCAGACGCAGCCGATGCTACAAGCGCGAGCATGTGGCCCAGAACAGTGCTTGCACTGCACGAGCGCGCGTGCTTGGCAGGGATGCTGAAAGCCCGGAGTTCGCGCTTGTAGCTTTGGCTGCGTCTGGACCGAAGCTGAAACGGAGTATAGCGGCAAACAGAGGCTTTCTAGTTTCACGAACGTTTCCATGGCAAAAGGCGTTGAATCGTCACGCGCAATGAAGCCAATGGGAAAGCGACGTACCTATGTAGGAACGTGTAAAAACGTAAAAGCCGTTTTTTTTTTTTTTTTTTTTTTGCACGAGCTATTTTGCAAATAAAAATAAATAAAAAGGACTGCCCGAGATTATGCCGTCGCGTGCATTTCTTCAGCGCCGAAAGAGAAGAGCATGGCTTATGGAGACTATACTGGCATAATCACTGCAGTGAGAAAAGGAGCAAAGCATTATTAAAACTGCCCGAAGAAACTTTCCTGCATCATCCACAGAGTGCTCACAACCGTTGCACTCTGCGTCGATCTCATGACTTGTCATATACTACCACAGGGTCGTCGTCAGCTCTGTATCCATTTGAAGTTCACAGGCAAACAGGAAATTTCATTTGCAGCTTATGTTCACGGCGGCTTCACAAAGGATGATCGGTTTCGCAGCGCACCTTCACGTAATATTTTTTTTTCTCGTAATGCCATCCGTATCGTGCAGAGGCAGGGAAAGCAACGACGCAAACGAGACACAAACACCACAAGGTCGTTAACGCGGTTTTCGCCATGTTTGTTTTCAAAGACCGTAGCGAAGGACTTCGAGAAAACAAGCTGAGATATCTTAGCTAAATTTACTTTACATCATAATTATTGAAATAATCTTTCGTATTTTATAAAAGGATAATGTTATTTCTTTCTGTTTCCTTCCATTTTCCGGAAGGTAGCCTTTCCTCCGTTATTCGCTCGTTCTAATTCCCGGAGGAAAAAAAGAAGAGAACAAAAAGAACAAAGGGAAATGCGGGGATTTCTTCGCCCCAACTGCGTGGACACGTCATCGCGACGTGGGGCATCGTCAGATTCCAGCTGACCGCGTGCGTGAACCCGAACGTTGGGGCGGAGCCTCAAACAAGAATCGTTCTAGTTTGAGGCTCCGCCACTTCTTTCTCGATACGTCACAACTCGAAAGGTACCCGTTTGCGACCAGAATAGCACCCCAGTTTTCTTTTAAAAGTTCTATAGCAAAAAAAAATTGTTTTGGCTCCCTATTTTTGACTTTTTGTGTTTCTTTTCACACCTTTTACGACGTGCGGTGGATGAAATTCGATTTTAAAATCATTTCATGGTCCCTTTAACTGCGGAGGACCTTGGCTGCGCAACGCACTTGGCGGCGGTTTGCTACGTCGCACCTGCTGCTCTGGCGGGGAGTGAGGAAGAAACGGAGCGTGCGGCTGCTCCGTTGTTCTCTCGGATTTGACGACTGTATCGCAACCATGAACCGTTCGTTACGTTACCAATTCTCCCACCTCCACTGGACCCCTGGGTTCTTCACTTCGAAGAATGGACGTCGTCACGAGCCAGGAAGCCTCAAGACGTGCGGCCTAAACCCCGCCTCGAACAGTGCAAATAAGGAGGAAGATGGGTAAATGGTGACTAATATCACAGCTAATTACACCCGAAGCAGAAATATCTTCACGCGCACAATTTGTAACGTAGTAATCTATAGTCGGTGACAGGTCAAGAACGAAGTGGAGGCTCCTCCCACCTCTTTCCACTTTAGTAGAGGGAACGCTGGAGGGGAGGTAACCTCCACTCAGTCTTGTACAGGTTACTAAAAAAAAAGTAATCAATTACAATTACTATTGCTCTTGGCTAAAAAGTATTCGATTAGATTACTTGATTACTCGACGGCAAAAGTAATTGGACATTTTGAGGTATTTAGCGTACAAGGTAGAGAGAAGAAGGGCAGGACAGGAAAGAGCGCTACTCACGACTACGTTTACTGACAAGAAAGGAGGAGGGGAAGGAAAAACCCCATCCGCCGCGGACTCGTGCGTCCACCACCAGCCCCGTGAATGACAGTGGCTCGTTAATCCGGGCTTGTGTGGGCCCTTCATTGTTTGTTCAAGCGCGGGTCCTGGAGCGAGCTTCGAAAGCATTCATTTGACACCATGAAACTGCTTCGAATCAGTTGGGAACAACTTATACAGCCCAAAGAGTGAACCCCTGCCTTCCACTGACGTCACTTTTTGGTTGCTGCCAGTAGAGACTTTCAGTTTGAAAAACGCGGTGAGGACCAAAACCGTAAATTCAATAACTTCTCGAAAAAACAATATTTTGACCTAGTATTTGGGGTACTATTTTAGCGATGTTTGTTGGTTAGTTTAGCAAAATTTCGAGCAAATCGGAGACAATGAAAAGATCTGTGGTGTCGCTCAAAGTTTGCGTCGCTCATTTTATTATTCACATGTGGATGAACTCGCATGTTATACAAAAGAGCAGAAGCTCCAGGATATGAAACAGATCATGTCTAGTATCCATTAGCGGAAGAGATCGCCCCGACCACCTCTCAACTCGAAACCTTGTTTGCCACAAAGACCACGTAGGGGAAATAAGGAAATATTGAACTGGCTTTGTTATATTGTGCATCCGCTTTAGGCGTCCTTCGGTTCAGGTTCTCCTATGGGCTGCGAGTAAGTACCGTAAGCAGGATTGTTTTCATTTCTGTGCGTGTGTGTGCGTGAGGGGGCTGATTTCAACGAAGGACTTACAAAGCTACATTCTGCTCGCTCAAACTTCGCCCTGAATGGCATTGGTCACGCACTGGCGCTTCCTTGGGGCTTCCCACTCCCAATGCCAGAGCAAAAAAAAAAAAAAAAAAAAAAAAGTATAGTTATACTATTGCTAACATAACTAAGAAACCTATCAAGAAAAAAAAAAGCATGCCGCTGACATTTCTAGATTGAGGTCGGTATAGTACACAAAAAACGTAGTTACCGCATTCTCAGGTCCTAAGAAATCGCATGTGTGTGGATGGACCTTCACGCGCGATTTATGAAATTCTGACTCAAATCGGCTCGGCGGCGCTTGTCGGCACGCGTGCCACGACGTCAGAGAATGAGATGTGCCGCCATCTGACGGGTTGTCTGCGCACTAAGCGGAGCCTGCGCGGTCACTCTCCTACTGCCTCTACCGCTTCCTAATGGGTGGCGCTGAGTGACCGCCACCTTCGCGCGTGCCGTTTACTTCTCTTCGTTTTCCGTGCCGCTCCCACTCGCTCTCCCTCGCGCAGTTCGCTCGGACTCCCAAACAGTGTCAACTTTCGCGTGTGTGTGCGTACGGTGTTGTGGCTCCGTGTCTCGTGCGGTCCCGTGTCCGGAGTGTTGTGCGTCGAGTGGGCCGCCCAAAAGACCCGCCCCGTTTGGATTACGTCGGATGGCAGCGGCGAGGGACGGCACCAACTCTTACGGATTACCCGCTGGAATGCGATCGGCGGCGGCTACGTGAGGCGGGATCATGGTCCTGGTAAGCCTCCTGGGATTGTTCGCGGTCCTCGAATTCCTCGCCGGCGCGCGATGTCAGTCCCGCGTCCGAGCGGCGAGCGCCCAGCGCGGCGGCCGGACACCGCCACGTATCGCGGGGTTCGCCGCCAAAGTTCGGGACGGGCCGCGGCCATCCAAAGTTTGCCGCACGCCGCTGCCGGTGGCGCCCCCTGGCACACCTGTTGGCGGCATCCGCGGAATGCAGGCCCCGAACAGCAGAAGCCTGAAGGCTGTGTGGGAGAGCGGCGTTTTTGGTCGTGCACAAAGCTGACCGGCGTCGCACTGGCGCACGCTGTGTTGGTCATGAAATTTCATCGGCAGCCCGAGAACCGACCGCACTAAGCGTGCGTTCAAGAGACCCGTGCTCCAGCGCGTGCGTGGCAAACGGCCGTCGGCACGAACCGACCACGAACTGCTCTTTCTTGCATCGTAACGTAGACACGGCCAGAAGCTCGACGACGTGTTAGGGAGTTTTCGTAGATCGTTTTCGCCGTCCCGCAAGGCCCTCCGCAACCCGCTACGATAGCGGGAACTCCACAGTCAAGGCTATCGGCGCGCAGGCGCAGTAGCAACTTCTTCGTTGCGGAAAGCTTAGCGGAGGGGGCAACGCGGTCTACGAAAACTCCCTGTTGTCTATCAGTTTCGTGTTCCGTTGCGGGTCCATGTCACATGAGCGAATGACGTTTTAGCGAACAGCGACGTTTGAGCGAATCGACGTTTTAGCAAATAACGGGGCGCGTGTTCTGGGTGCTTTTCTCTGTAGATGTACATTTCCGTTTGCGAACGAAAACGGTGCATTGGATGTAATGCCGAAATGCGGGACATGTTCTGTTCGGCTTTTCTCCGTAGATTGATGGTTTCTTTTCAACAGTGCGGTGAGTAGCTCCATCATGTTGTAGTTGTTCCCCGTATGATATGGCAACGAGATAAAGTAGGCAAAAACAAAGACTTCGGATAGTTGTCCCCATGAATCGAAGCATTGATATGACAAAATGTAACTTATTAATCGGACGTTACATAGAATTAGGACTTTGTATGGGAGGGATACCTGAAAAAGAGAGATCCTATTGGGGAGGAGGACAGACCGTGACGCCCCAAGCGGTTAACTGAACAACTACACGGATGGGGACAACAAATACAATGACGCAGCGCTCGGCTGACATAACCGAACGCGGCGTCAGCGTTCGGCTGGAGTTCGTGTTCTCCGGTGAGGGGGTAGAGGGGCTCTTTTGTTTCCACGACGGCCTGCATGAACAATGCAGCATGCACGGTCCCAGCTCAGCACAAAAGCCGAAGTGGGTCAAGCTCGCATTCTCTGAAAATAGATCCGGCACTTAACGTCGCTTCGTCGATTGTTAGTATTTTTTACATTAGACTGTGCCCCGCGCTCTATTGTAGAAGATGACCTGGCCATGCCCATAAGGCCTGTCGGCATGTGCACAGGCCTTGCGTGGAGTAAACACCGAGCGTGGGGAAAACAAACGGGTCAGAGCGCCCTCTATTGGGGAGGAGGGCAGACCGTGACGCCCCAAGCGGTTAACTTAACAACTACACGGATGGGGACATGGCCTCCGAGATCCCGAAGCGCGCGCGCGCGCTTCGGGGATCTCGGAGGCCATGATGGGGACAACAAATACAATGACGCAGCGCTCGGCCGACATAACCGAACGCGGCGTCAGCGTTCGGCTGGAGTTCGTGTTCTCCGGCGAGGGGGAGGAGGGTCTCTTTTGTTTCCACTAGGGCCTGCATGAACAATGCAGCATGCACGATCCCAGCTCAGCACAAAAGCCGAAGCGGGTCAAGCTCGCATTCTCTGAGGATAGATCCGGCACTTAACGTCGCTTCGTCGATTGTTAGTATTTTTTACATTAAACTGTGCCCCGCGCTCCATTGTAGAAGATGACATGGCCATGCCCATAAGGCCTGTCGGCATGTGCACAGGCCTTGTGTTGAGTAAACACCGAGCGTGGGAAAACAAACGGGTCAGAGCGCCCCCTAAAGTTCGATCTCCTGCCCAATAGTTCGATCCCCTGCCCAATAGTCGGTTACAGGTAGCGGCAAATGCCCCTTAAAGGGAATCATATATCCCTCCGCCACCTCCGCATCCAATAGCGTCCCATCGTTTCCGTGACGTCGCGGCCAACGCGCGAGGAGGGTCTGGCCTTTCTGTACATATTTGCTTTATCTTTCGACTTTGACTTAGCATTGTGGAAGCCACGAAAGGGAGATTAGAGTTGTCCCCCCCCCCCCCCCCCCCCCCCTCCCTCCCCTCCGATGGAAACAATTACGACTTCGACCGCTGAGGTGTCAACGCCCAGGAAGGTCTCTAGGGTGGCGTGGCCATCTCGCTGGCGTCGAACCTTTCTCACGAACAACGTCCGAGCCAGTCAGTCGCGTAAACAGATCGGGAAAACTTAACAGGTTTACTCCATAGCGAAATTTCTCATCGAAGACGGCTGTCCCTTGAGTGGTCGGGGTTTTTGTTGACCTCCTGAGGGAGAGGAGGTTTCCGTGGGGGGTGCTTCCCCTGAACCGACGGCAATCGGAACTGGAAAACACTGATGTCCCCTCGATTACCAGCTTGAAACAGACCCCTACTCTGTTTCATACTTAAGGTGCAACACTGTCAAAGCTATACTGGCGCGAGCGCGTGGCTTCATCCATAGTTTTGTTTTGCGCGAGAACACGTGCAAATGATCAACGAGATCAAGCCCCAGGCTCGCGCCAGTAGCTTTGACAGCGTTGTACACTAAGTATGAAACAGAGTATAGGGAGTAACCACTAATGACCATATCCGTGTGCGCTCCTGCTGAGCGCGTGCTGACGGCGAGCTTCTGCAGTCCTTTTGGAGCGTGCATTTAGCACCATCAAAGTTGCCGGACTTAGCAGGCTATTAATGTAAGCTCGTTCTGAACATGCGCTCTAAACATCGCCCTCAAATATGGCGTCCAATGAATACCTCCTATAATTTTAACGCGTTAGCGTTAAAGAGCTCATAATACGCTAAAAAAAAAAAAAAAAAAAAAAAAAACACGAATGTATTGCTGAGTGCATTTGTAAAGTTAATTGGGAGAATCCGAATTTCAGAATGTTTCCGCAAAAAAAAAAAAAAAAAAAAAAAAAAGATTTCCCCCCGATTTTTAGCTTGAAATATTGCACCCGATTTTCCCCCCCAAATTAAATATATATATATATATATATAACCCGAAAACGAACAACCGTAACTAGTGAACAAAAGGTAAGGGCACGAACGAGCTGGTGGTGGTTAAACATGTCGAAAAAAACCCCGAGACTGGGACAATAAAAGACGGACAAGCACTAAGTCTCAATTGTGTTTGTCCGTCCCTTATTGTCCCAGTCTCGGGGTTTTCTTTTTTAAATGTTTAACCCTAACTATATGACTTTTCTTTTTGCTTATAAAACTAAAGTGCAACAGTTTTCGGATGCGTACGAAGACAGCGACCACCCCTGCGGAAGTGGGGTCGTGGAAGAACTCCTTCGAACTTGGAGGCCGCAAACCTTTTCGGCTACCCCTCGAAGCGATATTCAATATTCTCACGAATGAAGGTGATGAGAGGACGAACAGTGTACTGAAAATGAAGGATTAATCGGCGAAATTGTGCCAAGAAAAATAAAGAACGAGTGTCAAGGCAGCAGGAAAAGCATGAGGCGATTTGGCAGCGTAACAGCAAGCGAAAGCGAGACTGACTCGAAAAGGTCCCGCGCGGCTCCTTATGTAGGGTGCGTATCACCATCTGGAATATTCGGCCCAGAAGGTTGGAGCGTCGCGCGTTCGGGGCGAGAATGAACAGGCACTTTCGAGAACACGAAAGCAGGACGAAATGGTAAAAGTTACACCCCGAGTAAGAATAAACGCGAATATTCTAGAATACCGTGCCTGGGCGCTGTTTGCTCTGCCCTGCGGGCGGCAATATTAGAGACTTTTCGTTTAGGGTACGCTGCGGATGCGGGCGCTGCCAGCTGGCGCTGTGTCCGTGCTCAGAGAGAAGGCACGAGCCCCTGCTAACAACGCGGAGCCCTCGCGGAGGACCTACGCGAGGTCCCCATTGTTTGCCGCGTTTCAGGTTGCCCAAACCCGAAGCCTGATTACGTACTCGGCGAGGCCCTCCCGCCGACGGCATTAGACGGCGCCAGAGTTGGCCGACGGGCGCTTTCGCGAACCCTCGAAAAGTCGTTCAAAACTTGGTCGCCGAGTTCCCCGTCGGGGGATCAATTTGCATGTGCCGCGGCGAGAGACGCTCCAGCGCCTTTTGCCCAGGGCCGCAATTTGGGCGCGCATTTGGGCGTCGCTGGCTCACGATCTCGTGGGGCTTCGAAAACTTCAATCTAAGCGAGAAGCGGTTTATTTATTTATTTTTTTTAATTAATGCTTCGGATTCACCAGAGTTCAAGCAAAAATAAACAGCAAAAAGACAAAAAAAAAAAAAAAAAAACATTAGTAGCAATACAGCAAGGCATAAAAGCATACCTAGCAATAATTAAATTCACCGGTAACACAATGTGTTTATAGATCGAAATTCTCAAATTTGCAACGAATAGTTTTACATTAGAACTACCAACAATAATCTTTGACGAATGGTCCCATCCATGCAGGTATTGTCCTGAAAAAGCAAAAAAAAAGAAGAAAATTTAAATGTATTATTAGATACGTTTAAACATTTAGATACTTTTCTCCTTGGGAAAGTACGCCTTCCTCCCTCAAGCCCGCCCTGTCGGATGGATGGATGGATGGATGAATACGGCTGAGCCCTTTGGATCGGGCGGTAGCTTACGCCACCTAGCCATTTTGTTTTACCATTTAAGCTTAGATTATTTAAATGTGAAATCTATATTCACTCCGCAGTGCAAAGAAAGTGAGGCTATGAAACCCCCTTGCCATCAGTGAATAAGAAAATACCTAGTTTTCTCTCGATTTCTGCCACCATTCACTTAATCTTTGCTTGGTAATCTCTACAGTCTTGA